ACATTTGTGCTTGTTTTCTGCATTGCCACTTCTCATTCAAAAGACTAAACTAACAAAGAAACTGGTTTGTACTCTTCAAAAATATTGCCACGAGTGCTGGTTCATGTCCAGGCTGCTCCACTTCTTTTTTTTTTTTTTTTTAAGATTTATTTATTTTATTTGAAAGTCAGAGTTACACAGAGAGAGGAGAGGCAGGGGGAGAGAGAGGTCTTCCATCCAATGGTTCACTCCCCAGATGGCTGCAACGGCCGGAGCTGTGCCAATTCGAAGCCAGGAGCCAGGAGATTCTTCCAGGTCTCCCACACAGATGCAGGGTTCCAAGGACTTGGGCCATCTTCCACTGCTTTCCCAGGCCATAGCAGAGAGCTGGATTGGAAGTGAAGCAGCCGGGTCTGGAATTGGCACCCATATGGGACCAGGGGGTTAACCCGCTAAGCCACAGTGCCGGCCCCATCCACTTCTGATCCAGTTCCTTACTGTTGGCCTTGGAAGAGCAGTGGAGGATGGCCCAAGTGCTTGGGCCCCTGACACTTATATGGGAGACCCGGATGAAGCTCCTGGCTTCAGCCTTGCTCAGTTTTGGCCATTGTGGCTATGTTAGGGGTGAACTGGCCAATGAGAGATCTCTCCCCCTCTCTCAGTAATTCTGTCAAGTAAATAAATCAATGTTAAAAAATAAAACAAAAAACAAAAAATATTGCCATGAGACACAAAGGACCAAGGAATTTCTCCTGGTTAGAGACAACTACATGGACCATAGTAGGATGTGGATGGGATCCTGGTATTAGGGCAAAGTGGGCTGGGTTTGCCGTGGGAGTTACTGCCATACAGACATTGTGAGGACATCCAGAAAACGTTGACTGCAGACTACATAGTAAGTCACAGTATTGTATCAGGGCCAGTGTTCCCGAGTTTGACTACTGTGTTGTCCTCATAGGGAGCATCTTCAAAAAATTTCATGGAAAATGCGTAATATCAAAAAATATGCATGGATTTCAGAATCTGTTACACCAAAATAAGCTCATTCATGAATTCCATTCCCCACAGTCTTTGAGGTGCCTTGTGTGAGAGAATGTCAAGCTTTTATGAAATATAGATTAAAGCACTTCAGTTTCAAGGAGCAAGCCATGCACAGGTCACTCTCAAAATGTTTTGGGAAAAAAACAGAGGACTATGACTTGTTTGCAGGAAACTTACCTACCAATGCGTCAGTCTAAATGAAAGGCATATAAGAGAATTTTCATATCATTCCCACAATTCTTCCCTAAGTCGGGAAACTTAGAAATGAGTTTTAGGCTATATAAATGAAAAAAAAAAAGCTGCTGAGATGAATGTAGTAAGGTGAACCCTACCTTCGCATCATCTGTCTCCTGCTGTCTAGTTGTGCATTGCATGGAATTAGACTGCACCTGGTCTTCACAGTGTCTCTCAGTGGACCAGTGAGTTGTTTGTGGGGCTCAGAAAGATGCGACAAAGAGTGTAATTAAATGTTTGATGTCACCACAGCTCTTCTTTGGTACCACTGCAGCATAGCTTGCCTAGGAGTATGTCTCAGAGTTTTGCTCTGAGGGAGCACTGTCAATCAAATCGTGACATCATCCAGGCTCGCTGATCAGATGGCTTGGTACCACGCCTTGGGAAACATCTTCCCAGAACTGAGTGGCATTCTCTCCTTCCAAAAGACATTGTCTATTAAAACCACCTGAGTGTGTTGAAACAAACCAATGGCGGAGTTCACGAACTACTCACATTCAGAAATCCTGCATGTCTGTGGCTCCTGCATTATACCTCCTTTTAAATACCACCAGCCGTTTCTTGAAATCAAAGGACATTTACTGAGAACAGGTGTGTTAAAGATCATGCCCCTGAAGTCAGATTCTCTTCTGCTTGAAACCTTAGAATGTAGAAGGCAGATAACTGGCATTTCATGAACCTCAATGGCATTAAACTGAAAACTAAACCCTTGCAAAACTAAACCCTTATTAAAAAACAAAAACAAGAGGAAAACAAATCATATCACTATGAACTACGTAAAGATCAGACTGCAAAGGCCCAGTAGCCACACTTATTTCACTATCACATGGGCAAGCAAAAGCATGTGTTAGTGAGAAGATGTGGGTTTCTGAAGTTAGCCAGGTTTGCCTTCAAATTCTGGCACCTCCATGAACAACCTGTGTGATACCGGGCAAATCACGGAGGTTTTCTGACAGAGGCATTTCTATTAGTTAATAATAGGGATAATAATACTTTTCTTATAACATGGCTGTGAGGATCCATCGGCGCCAACCCCCATAGAAGACTCAGCTCAATAAATGGCAGTGCTTATTATCTTAACCAAGAGTGTGCAGAAGCTGTGTCTGAGAGGCGATTTTAATCACGTTTCTTCCACTGACACAGAGCTCCTGCAAAGCCTGGAGACCACAAATGAAGCCTTAACTGGAAGACAGTAGAGCCTTTGAGAGGAACAGAATTAAAGTAGGGTCTGTCCTTTCATGACGAGGCACAAAGAGGCTATTAGTCAACTCAGCAAATATGTGCTCTGTAAATCAGCGCGACACATTCGGAGAGGCCGCTTGGAAGCAGCACGCACATCCGGGTCCAAAGGGGCAGCTGAAAACACGGCCACTCTACCTGGGCAGTGTAATCTAGGAAACAACTCAGGAGTAGCACCCAGGGAGTCGCCTGCTCCCCAGGAGAGGAGCCCAGGAGTCTGAATACGGTTGCAGATTACCCAGGTCTATTTTTAGAAAGTCCCTGGGCATAGCAAGATTTGCAATATCTAGGACAGACTGCGCTTCGGCCTGGGTTGTTGGGCGGTTGTAGAGGGAGGAACATTAGGAATCGCGCGATCTTCCTCTAGAGGTTCAACTGCTCTTGTCTGCTTGCAGTCAGTATGTTTCTGTCTTTTTGGGGAAGCGAGCAGCATCGTGGGTCATGCAGCTTTGTATTCAAACCCGTAGGATCGGGCTTAATGTCTGCGACAGTCATATATTGACTGTGTGGCCTCGCCCGCTTCCCCTGCAGCAGTAACATCTGCTTTGCGGTTTTGCCCTGGGGTCTCCACGAGCTACAGCAGGCAGCAGGCTCTGGAGCATAGTAGTTACTCAACAAGCCTCAGCTCTCCTGGACACTGAATCTGATGGGGGCATCGATGAGAGAACCCATTCACCCTCCTTTCCAACTGAAAGCCGAGCTGCTATTGGCTTATTGAAGGATGAAGACATCAGTGTGACCCATTTACAAGCCTGGCTTACTCCCAGGGATCTGATTTGAAGGGATGAACGTAGTTTGTAGTGACTTCTACCCAAATGGCTGCAGCTCCCCTCACAGGAGCCGGGGCTGGCAGTGAGCTGCTGCTCCCAATGCAAGTCCCAGGAGTGCACACCACCGGCTACGCAGACCTCAGCTTCCAGTGGGCTGGCAGCCTCCGAGTTGAACTTGGGCACCAGCCAACGTCTGGGCGCGAGCCTTAAGTGAGATCTGCTTAGCGTGTCGGGTATCTGTCTTTGCGGAAAATAGGATTTTCCCTTGTTGGTAAGCAGTCTCAGTTCCTGGCTTTAGAAAATTCAGTGTGCACAAAGTGACTCAGCCCTCCAGTTCATACCTATTGTCTCAAAGCAATTCGCACCTTCTTTGTTTTGCAGAAGTGACCCAGTTTGGATGACAGATCATGTGGTCACTAGGCAGGCCCAGAAAAATGCAAAGTGAAAGCAAGGTGGCCAGGCATGATCCAGATGCCAAGAAAAATTAAACAAATGAAAAGCTTCAGGGCATTAAAAATTGATTTTCAACATGGAGGTACCTGGGCTACTGCAGATTTTCACTTGCCCCAAGCAGCTGGTAATAACTCAAGCACTGTTATCAATACATCGATTAGCAGTGGTCCTGCCCAGGGAAGGAAGAGAAATCCTGGGTGTCGGTGTGTATGTGTGTGTGCGTGTGCACACATGGGCAGAGAAAGAGGCAGTGATATGCAGCTGGTAACTACTTAACAACCAGCAACCAGCTCTCGAGGGGTAGCAGGGGATTCACTGGACACAGGAGCTGTCAAGAGGTTTGCACAGTAAGTTCTTGTGAGCCTGTAGGGGCTGGCTCCAGCACAGAACTGAAGAAATTGGACTTTAACATGTATTTTGTCTCATTTCTTTGACAGGCAGAGTTAGACAGTGAGAGAGAGAGACAGAGAGAAAGGTCTTCCTCCTGTTGGTTCACCCCCAAAATGGCCACTATGGCCGGCGCGCTGTGCCGATCCAAAGCCAGGAGCCAGGTGCTTCTCCTGGTCTCCCATGTGGGTGCAGGGCCCAAACACTTGGGCCATCCTCCACTGCCTTCCCAGGCCACAGCAGAGAGCTGGACTGGAAGAGGGGCAACTGGGACAGAATCTGGCACCCCGACCGGGACTAGAACCCGGGGTACCGGCGCTGCAGGCGGAGGATTAGCCTAGTGAGCCACAGTGTCGGCCTTAACATGTATTTTGAACATATTTTGTCATCTTTTGCTTTCTAATGATAAATGTAATATATGTGCTCAATATATAAGACATATTTATCTATATCTATGTGCATACTGGATTTATCTATAGTTGTAATTGTAACTTCCCTAATTTCGGTATAAATCTCAGCGATACGGCCACCTGACCATGTAACACATGGAGAGGTCTCACGGATGGGGTTACAGTGGGGTTCCAAGGAGCGACCACACCAACCACGTGGATGTTCACTGTCTTGTTCACCACCACGATTTACTTTGCTAGCCTGCATCTGGCCTCTGTGTTGAGATAGAAGTGAAATGAAAAATTAGAAAAATGGTTTTGGGGACAGAGGATGAAGTGAGATCTAAACTTAGGCAAAGAGAAGAAAAAAACCAAAGTGAAAATGCTGAGAAAAATAAAGTGGGAGAACAGAATGTGTGAAGTGGCTGTTTTTGGACTCTGATTTTGCTGTCTACACCCAAGTGCATTCTGGTAACTTCTCACAAGACTGGGAGGGGCACGGGGAAGAAACAGTCTGTACTTTCCTTTATTGGATGCAGCTTTCGCTGGTCACATCGCAACTCAATACAAACAGCCCAGCAGAGGGTAGGGCATGAACTCGCGTTCTTGTCAATGTAAACACAACATTAATATTGAAGATTAAAGAAAATGGGCGGAAAGTCCGGGGTCTCCTCACTCTGTTGACGGTGAAGGTGCTTGTCTACCCTTGGCCAGGTCCCGAGGGGAGGCTGAGGTTATCCCCTCTTCCCGTCCAGAGGGAAGCAGGCAGGGACGCACGGGAATCGGTACGTTGCTCCCGCATGGCTCCAGGTGGACACGCCAATCTTCGGAGCCGGGCTCCTGTGAGTTCCTGAAGTTCTCCTAAAAGCCTGCGAGGTCCGTAGCTTCCGGGAGCACTAAAATTGTTCCATCAAAGCCCTCTCCCCGTGAACCAGTCGCTGCCAACAGAAAACATGACAGGTGTACAGCCGTTGGCCCTCTGATTCCTGCAGTCCCCATCGTAGTCTCTGCATTCTGGAGAGTGGGGAATTCAACATCAGGGTATCCTTGGTGAGCATCCTGGAGGAAGCTGCCTACATTTAAACACTGGCTAGAGGCTCTGGTCCTCCTTGCTGGGCCACTGCGGATAGGGGGGATGTGGAGTGGGACAGCTGACTTTTCCTTTAGAATCTTAAAGGATCAGATTTTTTTATTTTTGATTGCCCAGACCCAAAGCAACCAAACAACCCCCCCCCCCAAAAAAAAATCAAAACCAAACAGGAGTGACTTTGAGAATAAAGAACCGATGAACCCTACCCAGCTACCTCCGGAGACATCTCATTGGTTCACATCATTGGTTTGTCTTCTTCTTGGATACATAGCTACACTGCAGGGCACAGAAGAAACCATCCACTGAGTGAAGAGACCATTTTGCTTTTATTTTCTGGGATGCCTATCCCCCAGCACCCTAATTTCCCTTTCTCCCCAGCCAGGTTGGGCCCCATAATTCTTAAAACACCACGAGAACATTCTAAAGCCCTGTGGCTTTGTGGTAAGTTGATAACCTTTTGACTTCCTCTCACCCCTCTGTCCCATTTGGAAGAGACAAAAATCGGTGGGTGATTTTACTCCGGGAACGCCAGGTCACCGGGCAGAAACAGACTGGCCGGATCCTTGTCCAGGACCTCAGTAGTCAGGGCAGCTTCGTTGGGCCATAGAGACAAATCAAAACAAACCAAAAAAGCATCGCTTGGTTTTGCATTTGGGCCCCAGGCAGCGAGTGGCTCTCCGCCTGCAGTGCGTGTCTCCCTCGTGGGTGCTTCCCGGTGCTAGCTGTTGTTCTCGGCCGTGAGATATTTCAGGGCGGCAAAGCCATAGCGGCGGGACATGTCCTGCTGAAACTCCTCCTTCAGGGTCTTGAGACAGATGCGGTATTGCTTGTTGGAACGGAACTTGGTGATGTCGAAGCTGGGCGCGTGCGGCATGTGGATCATGTAGGCGTTGGGCAGCACGATGAATTCGTATTCCTGGAAGAAGACAGGGGCCTTGTGAGATCTTGCCTGAGCCACCCCTGGAAATGCAAGGTGAAGGCCCTAGAAATGCCAGGTTCAATGCCTGGGGCAAAGAACCAACCGGGGAGTGACAGCAGCAAGTAGGGCAGCACATGGACTACACGCTAGCTTTGGACTGGGGCAGTTCAGGGCTGTCTCTGTGATGAAACTGGGCTTTTCTACGCCTTGGTTTTCTCATCTAGAAATCTCTACCTTGAAGGATGACCCTGAGACTGGAACAAAGGACGGCCGGTGCTGAGCCGAGCTCACACAAAAGTCGCTGTGAACTTACACCCATGTGGTCACTCTGGAGTGACACAAGCCATAGGATATTTTCTCGCTCAACCAACTGATGTCTGAGGACTGGATGAGATCTGACAGCTCAACCGATTAGTGCAGAAGAGGGGAGAAACAAAGCATGGAAGACAACACGGAAACAAAAATGTCGCAGTAAACTGGAGTTCACGGGAGACAAAGCTCTCTGCCGCACATCCTATCTCCCAGTCACATTATCAGGCAGGATGCTGCTCAGCCTGGCAGAGAAACAGCTAAAAAGACCAACAACCAAGGTCTCAGAACATACGAAAGAGGCAACACAAATTTAGGACTTGTAACTCAGAGGAGAACCCAGCCCACTTTTCACACAATCTGTTTATTCAGATTTTGGACAGAACGTCTGGGAAGCTTTGGTCATCTCATTGGCACACAGCAGATGAGAACAAAGTCCAAAAGGGGGAGGGAGGGGCTGGGAAAGGCAGCTGCCACAGATACAATACTGACAGCAGCAAGAAATGACAACAGTGGGTGCTGAGGAATGAGTGAGAAAATCCATGCAGACCTAGCAGCCCCCATGGGAGTGGCTATAGGACCTGTCAGGTGTACACTCATCAATTCCCTAAGTCATTGGCAAGGGTGAAACGATGCATGGTAGATGCCACGGGCAATGAAGGAAAATGTGCAACCTGTGTCCAAGTGTTCCATCAGGACTGTCTAAGACAGAGAAATCCTTGGTCTCGCTGCTGCAAACGTTAGCTTTCTTTAAACCAGTACATGTCCCAGAATATGAACTTGACATTTCTTTCAAACAAAAGCCGATATAGATAAGACATGGCTGCTGTCTGCGAGCGGTCCTGGGCTCCCTCCTCGCATTACTGAAAATGCGGACATGAAAGGCCGTGCTTTCTCCTGCTGCAGACAGACACTGTTCTAGAAACTTCCATCTGTCTCAGAGGTCCTCCGTTCCCGGGACTGCTCCCAAACACGTGGGGCAGCTCACCTGGTGGGAGGAGGCCAGCCCTGGGCATCTGCTCTCAGTGTTCCTGGATTTGGGGTGTTCTTGTTGAAAAGATGGGAACAAAATGTCACCCAAGAGTAGGGCAAAAGAGCAATGTTTGCGATCCCCAGCTCTGAGGATCACGATGGCCACATTCTTAGATTGCTGGACACATCTGGTTCCCTCTTAGCCCTGTGCTCCTCTGCTTTCCTGTCCCCATGGGCTTCTTCAGCGCTAAGACCTAGATCTCCGCACCCACCCCCAGCACCACGGGAGAGTTCTGCTCATCTCACCTGTGCATCCAGTTCCATGATATGAGCCACTTTGTTCCAGCCAAAGCCCACAAACCTCCGGTCGTACTCGGGGCAGTCACGTCTCACGACGACGTAGGGCTCGAAGTCAGCCTCCCACTCAACCCGGTAAGGCGTGGTGGCGGTCCGCCACTTGGCGAAGTTCGTGGGTGCATGGCCTTTCGTCCAGACGTGGTACCTGGGACACATGGATAAAAACCACTGGGTGGAGGGAAGGAAGCTGGGTCTTGCAAATGCTGCTGATTTGGGAGAAGAGGAAGAGTCCTTGTGGCAGGCTGAAGGTGCTCCTCTAAAAGCTACGCTCGAATTCTAGCCCCCAGTACCTACGAATGGGGCCTGTTTGGAAACAAGGTCTTTGCACAGGTAATCAAGTTAGGATGAGATCACAGTGGATTAGGGTAGCCCCTTGTGCAGTAACCGGTGTCCTTATATAAGGAGAGGAGTATTTGACTATAGAGACAGATGGGGAGAACATCACGTTGAGATGCAGGCAGAGACTGGAATGACAGATGTATGTGTCAAAGATTGCTGGCAGCCACCAGGAAGAAGGAGGAATTTCTCCCCAGAACCTATAGAGGAAGCATGGATGGCTGAAACCTTGATTTTGGATTCCGGCCTCCAGAACCATGAGGGAATAAGCTGCTGTGGTGTTGGGCTACCTAGTTTGTAGCATTTATTTTGTTCTGGCAACCCCGGGGAGCTAGGACAGCCTACTCTCCTCACCCTTCAATGACAGGGAGATTCTCCTAAGAAAAGGGCAAGCAGACGCCTGGAACAAGGTGCCCTATGTGGTTCCTATGGAGCCCACTGCAGGCCAATCTGCATCCTCACTGTTCCCAGCAGAGACCACTGTGATGGGCAGTTGTGTACGATGGCGATGCCCCTTGTCCTTGCAGCGTGTTTTCTCCCTTGAGACACAGCTTGTGTGACGTCACCATTGGGATTATATTGTAATACGGCAAAAAGGATTTCTGTAGATGAAATGAAGATGGCTAACAAGATGACCTTGGATTCATCAAAAGGCTGATGTGAGCCTGGCTTGGCTGTGTGGACCTGCAGATCTCAGTTCAAGAAGAAGCAAACAGCCATGCTGCGAGCTATCCCCAGGGGCCACAGGGCCAAGGCCTGGGCTGTAGGAGCTGACACTGGTCTCTGGCCTAAAGTCAGAGGCACTGGGGCTAGACTGTGGCACAGTAGGTTACTTTGCCATCTGTGATATTGGCATCCCATATGGGCACCTGTTTGAGTCTCAGCTGCTCTACGTCCGAACCAGCTCCCTACTAACACACCTGGGAAAACAGTGGAAGATGGACTTGGGCCACTTCTACCCACATGGGAGACCTGGATGGAGTTCCAGGTTTCCAGCTTCTGGCTTTGGTCTGGTCCAGCCCTGGCTGTTTGCAGCCATCTGGGAAATGAACCAGCAGATGGAAGACCTCTCTTTTTTTCCTCTTTCTCTCTCCCCAGTCCCCTTCTCTGTAACTCTCAACTCTGTAACTTTCAAATAAACAAATGTTAAAAAAAAAAAAAAAAACTGGCAGCAGGCAAGTGGGAGCCTCAGTACTACAACTGCAAGGCAAGGAATCCTGCCAATGATCAGGGAGTGGGGGAGAGGCCCACATGCACCCGAGAAGCACAGCTTTGCTGGCAACTTGATTTCAGCCCACAGAAGCCAGCAGAGGCCTCCAAGCCAGACATGGTGAGATGGCAAATGCGTGTGGTTTTAAGTGGCTATGTTTGTGGTGCTTTGTTACACAGCAATAGAAAATGCATACAACCACACAGTAAAAGGAAACTGATTACTAGTCAGGTATGGTGTAGCAAAACTATTGTAAAGACTGAGCATACTCATTATTTTAAACTCTCATAATATCAACAGTAAGTGGTAGAGCTGGGGTTCAAATCCAGGCTGCCCAGCTCAAGGGCAAGGATGCGCACCTGCTTGCTGAGTCACCTTTTTTTTTTATTATTATTATTTTATTGAAAGGCAGTGTAACAGAGGAAGGAGGGATGGGGGGAGGGAGAGGGAGAGGAAAAGAGATATTTTCTATCTGCTGGTTCACTCCCACAAATGGGCCTCAATTGCTAAGCTTGGGCCAAGCTGACAGCAGGAGCCAGAAACTCCATCTGGTCTACCACTTGGTGGCACGGGCCTAATTCCTTGGGCCATCTTCAGCTACTTTCCCAGGGAATTGGATGGGAAGTGTAACTGCCAGGAATTGAAGTGGCGCTCCGATGTGGGATGCCAATATTGCACGTGGCTGCTTAACTGATGGTACCGCAACAACAGCCCCCGGGTTACCTCCCTTCTATGTCATTGTCCCCAGCACACTCTAGCATGTAGAATGAGTACTCCCTGGCTTTTCTCCAAGTTGAATAAACCTTTGAACGAATGAGCCCTCTAAACATGCATGCGGTATCTTGAGCCAGAGCTGGTTAGAGGAGCGGGAACATGCCTGGTTAGAGAGGGAACATGCCTGGTTAGAGGAGCAGGAACATGCCTGGTTAGAGCGGGAACATGCCTGGTTAGAGGAGCGGGAACATGCCTTTGGGAGCTATGGGGAAATGGTGGAAGCTGGGAGTGTAGTGGGGCCTCAGACAGAGTCTGAGGGAAAGGGGGTAGGGAGAGTAATATCTAGAGCTAGAAAGAAAATCTCCATGAAGGGAAAAGACAGGAAGGGTGGTAACCCAACAGCTCAGCTACTGGGAGGAAGGCGCTGAGTGCCGGGTACCCCATCCTTCTCAGGGAAGCGTCTGTAATGCAAGGGAGCTGGAGGGGCTCTCCAGCAGGGACTGCGACGGCTTCCTCACTTTGCCCTTTCACCCCTCAGGTTGGTTGGACTTTCCTCGACCCCAGGGACCCATGCAGTGTGGCTGAACCGGCAGTGGCCAACGAGCGGACTTCCATCAGGTCGTGTTGTTGGGTGAGACGGCCAGGCTAGGGGAAGGCCATGCTGTCAGTGCAGCAACTCCCACCTACACGGAAGGGAAGGGAAGGGTGAGCAGTGTCACTGGAGTGGAATGTGGAAACGAGGGACGTTGCGGGAAACGTCGATCCCAAGTCTACTCCAGAAATTAGGCCAAGAAGCGGTTCATTTTTTCCATTCGTGAACTCACCGAACAGGCACTCTTGACACAACTGGCACAGCACACGCCAGGGCTGTGAACCTGCATTGGGTTCCAAGTATGGCATAGGCCTGGGTCCAGTCCCACTGCTCATCTCTGTCATGTAGGACCAGAGGACTCTGCACAACAGTCTTTAACTGGGCCTTAGTTCCTCTTGTGTCGGCTGGGGAAAAAGTCACACCTCTCTTGTTGAATTACTGTGGGGCTCCCCTGAGGAAATATATAGAGCTGGACATGATGCTGGCCCACGGGAGATTCACTAAGTGCAAAGGTCCCTGTTATGCAGCTTAACACTGTGGTGCAAAGCAACAAATCTGGAGGCAGCATGCCTGGGTTTGAGTTCTCATTCCACTGCACAGAGGAGTTCGCCACACTGCACCCTTGTTGCTTTCTCTTGAAGAAAGGGAGACAGCTGGAATACCTGCCTCATGGACACGATGGAGGCCTGAGCGCACGGAAAGCACTCAGGGGTGTATCCTTGAGAGATGAGAACATCCCCATTATTTCTCTGTGCTTCCCTAGATACGATGTCCACCCATGGTGGGCCTGCCCTCCGTGACAGTAATGTATTGGTACATTGTTAGCCATCTTCGTCTTCCATCTTTAGAATCTAAACTCACTGGACTTCAGCGCTTGCTGAGACCGGGAACCCCAGGTTGCCTTGCAGGAATAATAAGAAAAGAGAGATGAGCTCCTGAGAAAGGCCTCGTGAGCGCAGCTCCCAGGATGCTACTGAGAAGAGGTTGGCGCACTTTGCTTTCGGTAGCGCTCTCAAACTTGAGTGTGCATCAGAGTCGGCTGGGGAATTCCCTGCAGCTCCAGCGCCCCCCGAGGGAGGGGCTGGTGACTCTGCATTTCTAACTAGTTCCCAGGGGAGGCCGACATGCTGCGGGTCCAGGGACCACACTCTGAGAACCCGACTCCAGGAGGGCGGAAGGTGCAGGTGCTTTCTCGCTGCAGGTACAGCAAGAGGTAGGTGTCAGGCTCATTATTTGGGGAGCAGGCGACAGAAGCCAATTTCTTGCAAGGAAGGTCGGTAATGTAGCACTTGGCATGGTGGCTTGCAAACCATTGGCGACAGCAGCACTCACGGACATGGCAGGCCAGACCCCTGCTCTCCTGCCCCAAGATCATGGCCTCAAAGTGAGCTCTCCGATCACCTGGAGATGGAAGGAAGCCCACGATGGGAATGTGCCGCGAGGTCAGCCATCGGGCTTTGGCATCTGTAAGGAGACTCAAACCAAGGTTCTGCCCGCAAAGTCTGTTTCCAGGAGGCAGATTTTCTTTGCAACTTCAAACACTGGTAAGAAAATTTAGGACTTGGCAGTGGCCCCTCGGTATTTTAGTTATGAACAGGTTCTGTGATCCCTCGGGTCAGGGCTGCACCCAGGGTCTGCTTTGTGTCCCTGGGCAAGGAGCTGAACCCTCCCACTCAGAGCCTCAGAGTCTTTATCTGTGGAAGGGGACCACGGCATCTGCCTCACAGACTCGTGCTGATGATCACACACGCAAACACAGGGCCTGGCACAAGGTAATAAGCACTTGGAAGGTGTGGACTGTGGGGCATTAACTCTCTCAGGTCACTTGCCAGAATTCTAGGGAGCAGACAAGGACTGGAGCTTGAGTCCTGCCTCCCCCTGGAACTTCCTGCTCCTGCGTGTCTTCATCCATACAAAACGGGCGACATGAGCAGCGTGGGGCTGTTGGATGGATAACCCACCTCACAGAGGCATCGTCTCAGAAGAGTGTGAGAAGGCCTTCCAGGAACCTACAGTGGCAGGAAAACCTACCAAGACGACAATCTTCACAGAACAACTCAGATTGACTAGGAACATAGGCCTTGGCGCAAAGGAAGTGCTGGCCATTCTTACATTGGTCTCCCTTGAGAACAGAGGTAGGCAGGAGCAACAGCTCTTTGGAAATGCCTAATTAGGAGACCCTGGGACCAGCACTGTGGCACAGTGGGCTAAACTTCTGCCTGCGGTGCCGGCATCCCATATGGGCGCCAGTTCGTCTCCAGGCTGCTCCTCTTCTGATCCAGCTCTCTGCTATGGCCTAGAAAAGCAGTAGAAGATGGCCCAAGTGCTTGGGCTCCTGCATCCATGTGGAGACCCAGAAGAAGCTCCTGGTTCCTGATTTCGGATAGGCCCTGTTCCAGCCATTGCAGTCATTTGGGGAGTGAACCACCGGATGAAAGACCTCTGTCTCTCTCTGTCTCTGTCTCTCTCTGTAACTCTACCTCTCAAATGAATAAAATCTTACAAATAAAGAAATGAATAAAAATAAAAAATTAGGAGACCCAGTAGGACTCCTACCACCCCCCAAGTGCTATTGTTAACACAGCAATCTGTCCCCAGGACATGGAGCCCATTTGACCTGTGCATTTGCGTAGATTCCTGGGTCTCCCTGGTTGTTGAGTGACAGGGCAGCTCCCCTGCAGTGTTCCTGCAGGACTTGGGGGACTAGGAAAGGAGAAAAATGAGGATTTTGTTTGCAACTGTCATCCAGGGCACAGCCAGGTCGGCTGTCTGCCCTGTTGGGAGCAGCTCTGGAGTCATCTTGACGGTTTAAGTTGTTGAAGTGATAACCCAGGACAGAGGGGCTCAGAGAACCAGAAGAAAAAGGGAAGCCATCCAAGGTGCTCACAGAATGAAATGAATGAGTGGACAAGCACAGAAAAGAGAGATCAGAGCCAGGAGGGAAGGATCAGGAGCCCAACCTGAGTTTACAGAACAGTATGAAAAGAAGCAAGTGCAACCTTCTCAGCCAAACACGTCTCTCCTTCCAACTGGACACAAAGTATCTGTCATCCACCGGTAAAACCAAGTACAGCACACAGGCAGGGTGGGGGCAGAGAAGATTCCAAGGACTTCGTGGAGGGTGAGTGGTGCCCTTTTGGGACTTCAGTGGTCATGCTAGCAGCCAGGTTCTGGTTCCATGGCTCTGGGGTCTGGGCTTCCCAGGACAGAGAAGGTTTGGGGGTCCCCAGAGGACAGCATGAGGGCCACTCACCTGAACGTGAAGAGGGTCCCCATGTCCAGCATTGACAGCAGCTCGGCTTTCGACTTGGGGAAGGAGAGCCGGTAGCGCAGCGTCTCGAACGCGGGGACGATCATCGCCTTCTTGGTGTTGGCGAGGTCGAGCTGGATGACAGACTTCCTGGAAAGAGGGGGTGGCCAGAGAGAGCCAGCGTCCCTGTGATGCCCGGCCCAGAGCTAACCCCATAAGGAGCAGTGGCTGCTCCTTGCAGGCATGGAGAGAGCCCACACCAGCCTCTCAGTTCGAGACGGGAGAGACTGAAGCCCATGAAACCCAGGTAGGTGAAGCCGCTTCCCAGACCACTCAGGGAGCCACAGAGCTGAGCCTTCCTGGGGCATCAGCAGGCCCCAGCAGAGGGCCAGGAGCAGACTCAAGTGCAGAACAAAGATCTCAAAAGACTTCCCACTCTACTCCTCCTACTGCACCACCAGCCACACAGGAGCAGGTGGACATAAGCAGAGGAGATAATCGCCAACCTGGGCTTTTCCAGGCATCATTCCTGTGACTCCTCTACTTTCGAGTCCTCTGGACCCTGAGTCCTTAAAGGAAGCAGCCCCTTGGCTGAATACGACAGAGCTCAGACGGTGGAAAGTTTCCCACCCTCTCACGGGCTCCCACGTTGGAGACCGAGTTCCTGCCACTCCCCAATTCTATGGCCATCAGGTGGAAAGAAGGCTCAGGGAGGGCCACGGAGCCGAGGCTCTTAATGAACACAGACTGGATTTCAACCTGGCAATGTCACTTAATGAGTCTTGCCAGCCTAGCCAAGTCATTTAGTTGCTCGCTGCCGCGTGTTTCTCTCCCTAAAATGGTGGCAATAATTGTTACCTCCTGGAGCCGCTGTGAGGACTAAACGAGGTAATGCCATACTGCTTGGCACACCTGGCCCATGGCAGACATGCGGGGACAAATGGTCGCTGTCATACTGCAGTGCCAGCAGGACTCCCTGGTTGCATATTTCACCATTGTTTTTAGCCATGACCTTGGCACTTTATCTTGGCTACCTGCAGAGACCAGGGACCTTTAGGTCTTAATGCCATCACAAGCTGTCTGCGTCCCTCTCCCTAAGAGAGGAAGCAGCCTTCCTTGGGGTCACAGCAGGCATTAGAAGGCATTTAATAAAATCCTGGAAGAAGCAACCTCCTATAGTCACACAACTGCTTATTGTTGTATTGATAGAGCCACTTCCCTTGACACAACTTTGTGAAAAAGCACGGACTACGTAAAGCTGATCTTCTAACTAAATAAGTTAGCCCAGGCCAGAGGGGACCACAACAGAGGGGTGGTCCAAGAAGGACATGGGCAGGGCTTGGCCTGAGTGATGAATGGGCCACGGAGCAGGTCAGGATAAGGACATCCTGGTTAAAGGGTTTCCCGAGCTCCCAGTGGAGAGGGTGTGGTTGAGAGATGGATTGGAAATTCATTTTGGAACCTGTGACTATCATCTGTCGTCCACTCTTTATTATCAGGGTTAGGTGCACTATATACAGACGAGATACAGCCCTCTGTCACTATCTCATGAGAGGTCTGTAAAGGAGGTGAGCACCAGAATGTGGGGGAGCTCTCTGAGCCAGGCAGAGGGCCAGCGGTGTGGCCAGCCTGTCCTGATCTGCATTCCTCTCTGACTGCGGGCACAGCAGCACCGACTTCTACACACCCCAGGTTCCTTCCTCCAAGGCCAGGCATCTACTGTCAGCCAGCATTCTCTTTTATATCACTCCTGTAACAGATACAGCCAGTGCCTTATCTGTCCACGTTGGAGATGGGACATCTAGGCACAAAGAAATAGTTTGAGCAAGCTCCTGGATCCACAGGGACGTGGGATAAGGTGTCCTAGTACTCAGGAGTGCTCACTAGTCAGTCAACAATCACTGAGCACCTACTGTGTGCCAGGCACTTGGAGATACAGGGCTCTGCCTGGGTGGTGCTTATAGTCTTGTAAATGTTCCAGGGTGCTCAAAGCCTACTGGCAGGTGCCTCTCCACTGGGGTCTAAGATTGCATTTGGAGTGAATGATTTTAAGATGTGAATGCCATGCAGGGAGACAAGGAGAGTCAGAGGGTAATGAAGGGGATGGGAAAAATGTACACACACATACACACGACACACACATACATACATGACACACACATACATACATGACACAGATATCTATACACACAGAGGGCTCTTTCCACCTCAGTCTTTAATTATTACTGCAATCACAGTTATTGCAGTGGCTGATTTTGGAAGTGTCCTACTTGAAAGCAATTCCCTCTTCTATGACCCTAATACACAGGAGCAGCTCCCACAGCTCTGCCTGTCCCAAATAAACCCATGGCCAGGACGACTGTGTAGGGGTGGACACTTGAGCCAAGCTGGACAAATCAGTTCCTTGTCTTTAGAAATCTGAAAAGAAATATATAGAGACCAGGAAACCACAGAGCCGACTTGCACTGCTGTCGCACAATGTTCCAAAGACTTTGAACCCCACTGCAGGGGGCCCAGAAGCTGGTCCAGCCAACTGCAGTCTTAAACATTCATTTTTCCAAATCTTACTTTGATTCCATAAGATATACTAATCAGCTCCTTGTTCTGTTCTCCTCTGATATTTTTGGTATCTGAATTAAGCTACCTAGCATGGGTTTCTGTTGCTTGCAATCCAACAACCCTACCCCCTATACTGCAAGACCCAACATGAATATATAGCCCTGGGGATCAGCACGCCTTACAAATGCAGTCCCGGAAAGCCTTGTGGCCTTCTGCACAGACAGTGCTGGATCTGGGAGTGTTTTCTGCAACTTCCCTTTCGTCTCACTGAAACACAAGCTGCCACCAAGATGGGTGTGCCACCAGATGGGCCCCCTGCACACTCTGCTTATGGAGGCTTCGTTACTGATGTCTTGAATGGGCCTCATTATGAAGTTGTCTTCCATTGCAGAGTGGTTGCAGGGTACAGACCCTGAGCATGGCCATTTGTCAGGATTGCAATGGCCGCTGCAGCTTTTCTGCAGTGTGTTCTGCTGGTTCATACCAGCGTGGCTGCAGCTTGCTGCTGTAGGCTTGAGGAATGTGCTGCCATCACTCCTAGGCAATGGAGGGCTTCTGTGAGAAGGCTGGGCTGCGAGCCAAGAGACCCGAGTTCTGGCTCTTGTTTGACAAGCTGAGGGACTTTGGGTCAGTACCTTCACCTCGCTTACACGGCTGCAGCTAGGTGGCTACGATGGAAGCCTTGTGGATGGCAGTAGTGGCAGTGTGGTCATCAAGTGTGGCCTCTGCCTATCAGAGCTGTCAATGTGGGGAAGTTGCTGGCACCACTCTGAGGTTGACTTCATGCACCTGTAAAAGATGCTGACGAGCTAAAGCAGAAGGGCAGGTGGACGTGCTTGGGACAATGCCTGGCATGTGTGAGGCATGCAGTCCACAGTGACTGGGTCCTGTGCTGGCTAATCTCGTGTGCCCATTGGGCTAGGTAGCAGTGCCCGGTCGCTTAGTCAGACACCAGTCTGGATGTGAAGGCATTTTGGGGATGTGAGGACCATCCACGCTCAGCTGACTTGACGGAGACTGCCCTTGATTACGTGGGTGGGCTCATCAAATCAGGTCAAGGCTGAAGAGCAAAAATCTGAGCTTTGCCGGAAATGAAGGCATCTGCCTTAGGACTGTAAGACTGAAATCCTGCCTGAGTTTCCAGCTGGCTGGCCTGCCCTGTGGACTTCAGATTTGCCAACCCCTACGGCCATGTGAGCCAATTTCTCTCCATTTATCTCTCTCTATACACTGGAAATACACAGATACACACACACATCCAAACGAGGGCACAGTTTGTAGATAATGGAGCTGAAGACGTTTATTCTGGCGCAAACATTGTTTGAGCTCCAGGCATGCGAGGGGTCATTAAGAAATTCACAGAAAATGCACATTATGAAACAACTAAGCACAGAATTCCAAATTCTGTGCACCAGGCAATTTCCTTCTCCAAGAACTTTTTGAAGTCCCCTCATATACTGTCTATGGGTTCTATTTCTTTGGGTAGCCCTGACTCACACCCTGCCCTTGCTCCTTGACCGAGACCCCTGCAGAAACATTCGCAAAGTTACCAGAATATTCTAGGCTGAGGAAGTCTGAGGTATCTGCCTAACTCAGACCCCTGCCAATGCAATGGAGAGCCCCGCCACTCCATGTGACTTGGGGCCATTTATCCCTGGCTTCCAACCCTGCCTGCCCCTCTCTTCTGATCTCGGGGGACATACACAACTTCTTCCAGGCACAAGTTCCCCATCTGATGATGCAGTTCATGAATGATTAGGTCTCACAACCCAGAGTTCTCAAGCCTAACACAGAGCCTGACTCAGAATAACCAACACATGAGTCTCCCTTCCTCCTTTTAGGGTGGGCCCAGGGCCACAGAATGGGTGAGTGTGCGGAAGGATTCAGAAAAAGGCGATCAGGGGCCGGCGCTGTGGCTCACTTGGTTAATCCTCCACCTGCGGCGCCGGCATCCCATATGGGCACCGGGTTCTAGTCCTGGTTGCTCCTCTTCCAGTCCAGCTCTCTGCTGTGGCCCGGGAAGGCAGTACAGGATGGCCCAAGTGTTTGGGCCCTGCACCCACATGGGAGACTGGGAGAAAGCACCTGGCTCCTGGCTTCAGATTGGCATAGCTCTGGCCGTTGTGGCCATCTGGAGAGTGAACCAATGGAAGGAAGACCTTTCTCTCTCTCTCACTGTCTATAACTCTACCTGTCAAATAAATAAATAAAAATCTAAAAAAGAAAAGAAAAAGGCGACTAGCACAGTGCTCACAACCAGGTCGGCATTTTGGCCTGCCAGCCTGCCTGTGTGCGGGGACAGAGCATATGAGATCTCCATCTCCAGCCGGCCCTCTCTGACCCCTTCCTGCCATGAACAATGCCGGTGTTCCTGACAGAGCCAATGCAGCTCTTCCAGGCTGACGGAGCTGAGCAGAGGGGCACTGGCAGCTGGGCAGAGTTCATCTTCCAGGTCCCCAACCTCCTCTTCTCTCTCTTTTTGCCCCTCAGCCCCTCTTCTCAACTCACTCAAGTATGCAAAGAAGTCACAGCCCCTTCTGCTCCCACCTGGCCCAACTGGTGAGCAAGGGAGGGGCTGTGAAAGGACAGGG